ATTTACCTCTTTTTTTTCCATGTATTTTTGCAGCACAATGGTGACAGAAAATAGATTGTGCTGAAATCCTGAAGTTTACTCCATTTCGAAGTAAAATAAAGATAAGAAGAGGTGACTAATTAGAGACATTTTCTAAGAATGTTTGTTGAAGATGCCACAGATGTCACTGTTGCACAGGATTGTCTGAGAGAATTTAAGTCCAAAGGCTTGGAGACACCATGTGCATTTCCCATACTGTATGAATCTGAAGCTTTGTGTTGCCATATTAGACACTGGTCTTCACTTGGACTCCCTCAAGTGTGGTAATAAATAATACCATGAAATAATATAAAAGATATTATTATTATTAAAATAATATAAAATATAAAATAATGAAATCATGGTTACTGCTGCTCATGAGGGCTGTGCATGTCTGTATTCTTATAGCTACAGCCAAAACAAATCACAACAAACTTTATGACTCTCTAATCTAGTTATACTTGGTGTTAATATGGGGAAAAACTCCTGACTCCACAGACAAGTGAAGGAAGGCACAGTTTTCTATTTTTATATCTCTTTTTTCTTCCTAAAGATACCCAGCCCAAGAATCAATTGGGTTTTAACTGACACAGGCTCCCATGTCATCGCATAAATTACAGCAGAGTTTTCTGACACATGAAGATGTGTACTTTCTTTCTATTTCAAACAGTCTTCCCTTTTATTCAAGGAATTTTCAGACATCCAGACTGAGAAAAAGGGTTGGAGTATACTTCAGGATTTCAGCACAATCTATTTTCTGTCACCATTGTGCTGCAAAAATACATGGAAAAAAAAGAGGTAAATCAATTTTGGAAGCCAGAAATGGAAATGTTGGATCAGACTAATCAAACCAGAACAAGGTAGGTGGCTTGATCTTCAGGAAAGAGTTCTGATATAGGCTCTCCTTCTGCCTCCTTTGTCAGGCAAAGGTAAAAACAGCTCATTAAAAGGTAAAAACAGCTCATTAAATAAGCTGAAATTCCTAACCTGTTCTTTCACTCCCACTCTTCCAGTACCTGCCTCAAACAATTATGCAGAGACTCGAACACGGGCTATGTAACATATTCTGGGAACATACAGTAAAAGAACCTTATTAGCTGTCTCCATTAGCTGAAATGAGCAGGAGCAAAATAGTTAGTAAGCTGAATTTTAGGTGTAGGGCATTACACATCCCACAGAGATAAGAGAGAAAATTCACACCTCATTTAAAAGCTGTCAGAGTGTAGGCTGGGAAAGATAATACAGCACTGGGTTACACTAAGATCAGGTACTGTGCAACCAGAAAAGGTGGAAACTTAAGCTCAATTTCTGAAGCTAAATTTTGCCACAGGGTCAGATTCCCATGTTGCTGGGTAGCTGAAGAATCCCACAAGGCAGCCAGTCAGGCACAGAACAGTTCATTGCAGGTCTCTTCCCACAGAAACCATGGGAAACTTCCCACAGAAATCTGCACTGAACAGGGAGACTTTGGCCCTTGCATGCCTCTTGATTTCTTGTACCTGTTCCTTATTTCTAGGAACAAGCAGTTACAGTCGTGAAGGACCAGCCACACAGATGCCATTCCTCCCTGTGCCATTTGCCATCACACTGAAATCCACAGGTGCCACCAGTTTCTCTCTGGATTTAAATACAGTGGAAAGAAAGAATTAAAAGTGAAGACAGCAGAGTCTTCACTTTCCTGAAGCAAATATAAGAGCTGAAAATTAAATCTTGAAAACTTGAACACTATTTCAAGAACAGGCATTTTGGTTTCTGTGTTTGATGGAGAATTGGAGATAAGTCTGAAAGAAGGATGCTTTGGGCTGATGGTCCTAGAGACAAAGCTTGGCTTGGGGAGAAGATCTTTGCAGAGTGTGGTCTGTAACTACTGTTTACCTAGCCATTGATGGGAAAAATCATTGAATGATTTGGGTTGAAAGGGATTTTAAAGATTATCTAGTTCCAAATTCCCTGCAATGAGCAGGGACAGGTTTCACTAGAGCAGGTTGCTCAAAATGCCAGCCAGCCTGGCCTTGAACATTGTCAGGAATAGGGCAGCCACAGCTTCCCTGGACAAGCTCTGCCAGTGCCTCACCACCCTCACAGTAAAGAATTTCTTCTGAATATCTAGTCTACACCTACCCTCTTTTAGTTTAAATCAAGTGCTACACTTCACACATGGGCATCACTTTCCCCATGAGTAAGCAAAATGAATTTGGCAACCTGGCCAGGACTGCCACCCCTGCCAAGCTTACTGAACCACAAAACAACTTCCCCCAGGGATTCTCGGGTATTTTAAAATTGTCTAAACTGAATTGACAACACCAGCTGCACCATTCAAAACTGCAAAAAGCCTTGCAGTGCCTAGCCTTTTACCAGCATTCCAGACATGTTTTTTTCAGAAATTAATTTGAGTTGAGAGTGAATTTGAGAACAAATTTTTCAATGAGAAATCTAAAACTTAGTTAATATGACAGTGCTTTTTTCCTAATGGAAAACCAGTAAGGAAGGGGTGGTGTCTGTATTCCCCCGCATAGGGGGAACTGATGGTCCACAGATGTGAGACAAGCATGGGTGCTTTTCATTTTTTGTTACAGCAGTAAGTCCCTGCATACTACCTCATGAAACAGCTTGTCTAAAATTCTGCTTGACAAATGTATTCTCAAAAGTGTTCTCAGACATTTGTTTCATCTTCATTAGCAGTTCAACCATTTTTAATAACAAATTTTGAGGACAGGTGAAAAGGGAGACATTCTCTTGCTGACAACTATTGTTGAAAATTAATTTTAATTTGTGTGTAACCAAATTAACATGGACCAAACAGCATCTGAAACAGTTAGGAAGAAATTAAATCTCTCCATGAAGACACCTGTACTTGTGATTTAGAAAAATATCCATTTTGATGGCCTAGTATATAAAGACAGGTCATAAAGACACAGCAACATGGCAGCTGCTACTGTCATGTTCTTGATGTAACAACTCAGGTGGAGAAAAAAACAGGACATGTTTGTTTTCCTAGATGCAAAAGCAAATGAGCTGTTGTCCTAAATAATAATTCTGGTTCTATATAATGGAGATATTTTATTCTTATCCTATTTATGGGACCAGATCCTCATCCCTAGAACACTCTACACTTGATAGAAGATTTTTTGACTGTATAAAGCCAGGGCTGATGATCTGACACTATGTAATCCCTGATTTCTCTTTCCCAAAATACAGAGAACTCTGACATTCTAGGACAGCGAGGGATGCATCTGGGATCCAGCTATCCCTTGCCTAAATAAAGCAGCCCACAGATTAGACCAGTTTGTTCTAGGAGTCAAAATAAAGAAGGAATAGAAAGGTGGCAGAAATTTACTCTTGTCTACCTAACCAAAAGAGTAAGAACACTCTCCACAAACATGTGAAAAAAATAAATGCATATAGCAAATATGCATTTATTTTAGACTGTAAAGTCTACTGACACCTTTACCATGCCCATGCAAGGCCTTGACATATCTTAATGGAGAGAGTGACTACACAAACATTTCAAAGGCAATTTTGTTCTAGATTAGTTTTCACACATCTTAGAAGAGCACTATGCAAAGGATGCAGAGCCAGGGCTGACCTAACTAACTCCAGAACCAACTTGCAGATAATTCAGTCTTTTGGGTGGTCAGGCTTATTTCCTCATGTACTACACAAGAAAGGAAGTTACTGTACCTCCATCTGACTCTTTGTCAACCCTCACAAGAAGGACCAGCTTTACTGATCCTGATTCCTGAAGGCATGGTATTGGTCTTTCACTTCTTTAAATTGCTTGAAGAAATTGAGCTTAATTAACTTATGAAAACACACTACTAAATCAGAATCTATTCTTTGGAAGTAACCAGAATTTCTCCTTGTTTTCAGGGAAAGAAAAACACTTTATTTTCCTTAGCTGATAATTCCAATTAAAAAGTCTACAAATCACATCAGATTAATTAAGTTTTATGTGAAAGTACAAGTGTATATATTTTACTTATTAATGTATTTCATTTGCACAACTCCGGTTATAAATATTGATCTGTTTGGACCATTAACTGAAGTGCAGCTTTAAAAATAGAATGATTAAATTCAATAAAACCTAAATTTAAGAATAGCAATTTTTGTCTTTTAATACAGCAGACATCAGTTTAGCAGAAGTCAGCTGGATTGAAGAAGAAACAGCTATGAGACTGTTTCCTACAGCAGCCTCTGAAATGGAGATTACAAGTGTATTCTTCAGCTGTTAAGAAGAAACTGCTAGTTTAGTAATGGCAAATGGCTTAAAACAGTCACAATAAACAGATAACATAGGGTATCCAGTGCCAAATGTGTTTACTAGGTTAAATGAGAGTATTAACCTCAAATGCAATGAGATTTCTTGTCCACATCCAAAGTCCCTGGTGCGGGTGGTACTTGCCATTACAACTCTGTGTTCTGTGTCATCTGAGTCTTGCAGGCACTGCACTCTGGCCATTGTCAATCAAACCCTTAAAGATCACAAGGGCACTGAAAGGTTAATCATTATCTCTCTGTTATTCTTTTGCAAGGAAGGTAGGAATCTCAGGGGTAAGAGAAGCATGCACAATGAAAAGGGGAAGAAATAAATACGCTGCAGTTTTCTACCAAAAGGTAAATCCATTTGTGCATGTTGGATTTATCATGATCAGAAAACAGTGCCCACACGATCTCGAATACATAGAACACAGAGTGATAGCAGAGTTAAAGGTGAAACCAAGAGGGAAATAAGAGTTTGTCCAGGCTCTGTCTGCAGAAGGGGTGATACTGATGCTAACGGTTGCCCAAGAAGACTCGAGATCTTTGTTATGATTTGTAGGGTGGATGGATCTCATAGAGCACTTTGCAGCTTACATGTGACTGGGTGAGGAGAGAAGGTAGGGCTGAAAACAGCCCACAGTGATCCTACTACATCTGGTACATTAGGGGTGCTGGGGAACCCCCTCCAGGTCACAACTCAGACATCAGACCAGTCCCAAATCTGCTTCTGAAATAGCTGAACATTCTATTTTACCCAGGCTGAGAAGAGAAAACCAGATCAGTTTCAGCTTGGTCTGACCTAGCATGCAGCAGACACCAAGTGGAGGCTCACAGAGTTTCCTACTCGCTGAGCTACTGTCCTCTTAAAACAATCCAATGCAAGTAAATGCTATTTAAATCGATTGTGTGCATTCACAGACAAAATTGGTTTAAAATTTATTATGTGTTGTGGCTCACCATGTCGAGAGAGAACAGAACATACATTTTAAAAAACAAGCAGGTTTTCTTAAAATAATCAAACATTCAATAAAAGAGGCTTATTGCTGCCATCTTTATTTGTTAGGATGGGGAATGGACTATTTTACTCTTCTTGCAAGCTAAGCATTGTTGAATAACCATGGGAAGGATACAGGAATTTGCTTTATTAATTTTAGTAATAATTTCAATTGTCTTTGAATTTATTTTACTCTTGATTTAAATGTATAATGCAGTGTATTCATCTCTGCAGTTCTTGAATTGCCCACTTGCATAAGAAAACACACTTCAGAATACGCTTATTAAAGAACAAAATGGCTTTGAGGGATTTTTAAAAGCAAAGAGACATTATAATCTTCTTTCACTGTAGTAGTTGCATATTTCAAATGTAGACAACATTTGCTTTACAATTATTAATTATTATGGCTGCCAGATGCAATTAAAGACCACCTTGTGCTCTTCCTATGGCTCCCTTCAAGCATTCACCATGTAAGCCATTACTGAAATAGCTAGATTAGAAAATACTAATGGCTAGCATGTGTATGATATTTACTCCTCAAAACCCTAAAATAACTTGCAAAAGAGGGGCATTATTGACCTGTTGTTCTGAGGAGGAGAAGTGAAGGGTGGAGACATTCAAGAAAAAGCATTTGCCTATTTGAGGTAATTCCACTTGTAGGAATTGTGCGTGGAGAGTACAAAGCCTTTTCAAAGGCTTTTCACCACACAGTGAAAGGACTTTAAAAAAGCTTTCAACAAGCTTCCTCTTAAAGGGCTTTTAATAAATATTTTCAAAAATACTCCAAAAAGAAAAGGAGGGAAGAGTGAGAGGACAAATTTGTTAATGCTCAATTATTCAGAAGAGGGGAAAGGAAAGGATGCTGTAAAAGCACACAGTAATATCGCACTATAGTGGAGAATAACATGAAAGCCAAAATGCAGTCAGTAAATATGCAGTGATGCACCAGGAGACACAATTTATCCTGATATGTGCAAGGACAGGCTCTGAACTATCTGCCCTGTGTCCAGAATGAGAACTCCCAGTCACTGCAGCTGATTCCATAAAAACATCATTTGACCCAAGAAAAACACCGGGGATGCTTGGAAATACCAGGAAACAAATAGAGAATCAGGCAGCAAATGCAATTATTTCTTTTTATAAACCCATGGAGTGCTCATAGCTCAACACTGCCTGCAGTTCTGACTTTCTGGTCAGAAAAGCTGTACAAGGGTGAGAAAACATTCAGATAAGGTATCACATAGACAAGAATAATGACCAAAGTGAAAATAAATAGATTAAGAGTCTTTTGCAGAGAAAAGAGAGAACTGAGAGTAGAGGTGACACGAATTAATAGAAATGTCAATAACATTGAGAAGATCATTAGGAAATTATTTGACTTTTCACAGTGCAAGAAAGAGGGGCAAAAAATGACATTAACAGGTGACATGCTGAAAACAAACAAACAAAAGAGGGCATTTTTATAAGCAGCTCAACTGAACTGAAGAATTTCTTCCCCAAGATTATTTTAAATTATGTTTATTCTTACCAGTTCAAAAACTGGTAAGAACAACAGGGCCAAATCATAGCAATTATTCCACCAAGGATGATAAATCCAAAAATAATGTTTATAAAGAGGGATTTTGTTAAACTACAGATTGCTGGAAGCAGGGACAATATGCCAGGGAGGAACAACTGTATAGTTTCCCTGGTGTGGTGACTTTCTCCAGCATTCAGTACTTGACTGCTGTTGAAATCCAGCTACAGGCTAGATGAATCTTACCACCCCTTAAAAAATGCCATGGTGGTCTGAAGAGGGCCTCCACAAATAGAACTTATTGTTGCTGATATAGATACTTCTGTTGGTTATTGTGGTCAGTGGGCTTGGTCAAAGAAACCCAATGGATCCCAAACAGAATTTGATGCCACAGATGATACCAACATCTATGAATGATTTCCTCTTGCGTGGAAGGATGAAATATTGACTATGTTGAAATCAGCAGAAATTTTGTCACCCCCTGCAGCAGAAGCAGGAACTTACCTCCTTCTACCTTACTCCCAAGACTCAAATCCTCCCGACATATCAGGTTTTCTCCTGCTGAGTACCAGAATAGTCAACATGAAAGGACAAGAAGGCTTCCAAAGCACAGAACTCTGCAGCACGCTGTGCTGGTGTTGGCTGGGGACAGTTTAATTTTCTCCACAGTAACTGGTCTGTACCTATGCCCTATGGCTGCGGTTTGGATTCGTGCTGAAAACAGTATTGAAGATGTAGAGATGTTGTTATTGCTGCTTGCACAGAAGGAAGGCCTCTTCTGCTGCTTGTACCGCCTCACCAGCCACTGGGCTGGGGCTGCACAAGAGGCACACAGCCAGGACAGCTGATCCCAGCTGATCCAAGGGATATCCCACATCATGTGGCATCACGATCAGCATGGGAAGCTGGGGGAAGACTGGAAGGGGGATGTTCGGAGCGTTTGCAAGTCACCATTACGAGGTGGAGCCCAGCTTTCCAGGGGATGGCTGCACACCTGCCTGCCCATGGGAAGTGCTGAATGAATCCCTTGCTTTGCTTTGCTCCTGCACAGCTTTTGCTTTCGCTATGAAGCTGTCTTTATCACATCCCATAGTTTTTTTCCACTTTTCCAGTTCTCCTGACCCTGTGAGTAGGGCAGTGAGAGAGTGCTTGTGTGGTACTCGGTTGCTGGCTGGGCTTAAACGACAACTCATCTCTTCAACACAACGTGAAAGTGTTTAAGAGCTACAGGACTTCATACTAAAACAGCATACAAAAATGTATGAGCACTGTGACTCTGGAATTGGTCTGTTACAGTCAGTCTTATCAACACATTAGCTCTATTTTAACATTCAGATAGCAGAGGTTGAAAGCAAACCTGATTTTGCATCTTAAAGAGAGGCATGTAAAATGTTTTATAGGCTTTCACACTTTATTTGAAGATTATCATAAAGTGAGATTTTTTCATACCACAAAGAGTGTAAACCATAAACCTTTTAAGACTGCTGACAGTTATCACAGTTTTTTTTTCAGAGAATGATCTGGTCTATATCTTCATCGGAATTGAAAGCACCAGAACTTAAGTTAGAAGTCCACAAGTTAAAATGAACTGCCCCTAATCGAACAAAGCCTCCCTGAAAAAAAAATTATATGGATTCTGCCAGCACATTTTCTTTGGCCTTTTAAAAAACATTTGAATCAAAAGATTATTTGACTTTTAAAAATGAGCATGGATTTCAAAAATCACTTGATATAGTATTACTCAGGGGATGAAACATAGTGTTAGGAACTAGAGAATGAGTAAACAACCGCACACAGCAATATACATTTATCATATGAAGATTTTCTTGATCCATACAAAAACAATAAAGGAATGAAAAGAGATTTTTTCATTCCTTTCTTGTTTAAACCTTCTAGGAAAACCTCTCTATAAAGCAAAATTTTCTGCACATGCCTGGCCCCATTAATTAGTGAGAGTAATTTCAATATTTCTTTAGGAACAGCAATTTGCTTAATTGTGGCTTAGCAAGATGGCTGAAACTGCTGAGATACAGACAGATTTTTAGCCATGACAATTCATGAGGTGAACTAATATCGCCTTGATAAATGAATCAAATTTTTGGATTTTAAGTCCAACAGATGAAGCTAGTCCATTGAAGATTTTAATAATAAGAAAGGGGAAATGAGATGAACTATATAGCTAAATTATAACTATATAGCTAAATTATTGTAACTAGACAGTTGGAAAAGCAGA